AAGTCTCAGTTCTCCTGCAGACTCATTTTGAACAGGTTTCAAATCAGAATATGTAAAAACTGAAACCTGGTCTCGTCCAACTTTCCACACATCAGATTCTACTGATGTTAGAGCCTCAACAGTTGATGAAATGTCCACCAGAGACTGTATTTTACTAGAAATATGGATCCATCTCTCAGTGGTCATCATCAGGGTCAGCAAGGCCTTCTCTGCTGGCCTAAACTCTTTCAGAATCACTGACTTACGTTGTAATATTTTCCTGTTAATCTTTTAAATTTATTCCCAACAGTCTGTTCTCTTCATTTCATAGCACGTCTCTGGGCTGTGCTGCTTATGTTTACATCAGAGCTTTTATCCAATCATATTTCAGCGGTCATGTGTTGTCAGGGTCACAGAAATCTGCCCTGAGGCCTTCAGAATCAAAGTGCAGGAGCCTGTAGTTTAAAATGCATCGTAATGAAACTTTTAATCAGATTTAGAGTCAGTGGTCCCAGGACCAGCTGGCTGGTGACATCAGCACTTTCACGTCCTCTGATTGGATGGTCAGAGACTTTAGCCAAAGCTAGCGGTTCGTATTTGTAGCGACCTGCAGGAGCTAAAACTTTATCATAAAAGTATTGTTTCTTGTTATTTTAAGTTAAACAAGCGGACATTCTGAGCCCGACAGCAAATTAAAACTAGTACCAGAAACACGACTGGACAGACCCGACTTTCAGGTTTAGCCTCCATGGAGATAAAACAGGACTTATTGTTGGAAGTGAAACACACGGATTAGCTGCTCAACAGAGTGACTGAACTGTTTATGATGAAAGAAAGGAGGAAGGAGTTTATGTTCAAATAATTACAGGTTTTATTGAGTAAAATACAGTCATGGGAAAAATGATTAGATCACCCTTGTTGTCTTCAATGTCTTGTTCATTTTAATGCCTGGTACCATTAAAGGTACATTTGTTTGGACAAATATAAAGATAACAACAAAAATAGCTCGTAAGAGTTTAATTTCAGAGCTGATATCTAGACATGTTCCATGGTTGTCTTGATAATAATCAACATCCTTTAAGTTCTTACATCAATGTGACATTGTACTGCCAACAACAGAGCTTTTAGGCATTCCATGTTTTCTTTTCTGTCTGTTTCAGTCACATGATACACACATGAGTTATTACCTGATTGCATAACCATTGTTTTTGATGAGTGCAGCCATGCGTCTTGGCTGCTCTCCACCAGCTTCTGACATGGTTCTGCTGTCACAGCAGTCCGTTCCTGTTGCACTAATTCAAACACATTTGCTTTGTCTTTGGGCTCGTGGTTCTCCATTTTGCGTTTGATGGTTTTCCACAGGTTTTCAGTTGGATGTAGATCTGGTGACTGAGAGGCCAAGGCATGGTTCCAGTGTTCTGGTTCTCCATCCAGGCTTTAGCATTGTCTTGTTGGAAAATCCATTCATTGGAGGCAGGAAAGAGTTTTCCAGCTGATGGAGGAAGACTGTTTTCTAGAGTAGCCTGTACATGATCCGGTTCAGTTGCCCTTCACACAGTTGCATTTGCCCTGTTCCACCCAGAATGAAACCAGCCCAGATGGTCACTGATCCACCCCCATGTTTTGCTGTAGGGGCAAGACAGTCTGGTTTGTAGGCTTCTCCAGGTTTCCTCCAACCAGTAAGTTGACTGGAGTGGGCATTGACTGAAAATTGGATTCATCACTGAAGAGAGCCTCAGCCCAATCATCAACAGTCCCCAGCAGAGAGCAACCGGGCTTTCCTCTGCCTTTGGTTGATGAAGGGCTTCCGTGCCCTGTGTGACTTCAGAGCTGCTTCAACAAGTCGGTTTCCAACTTTCGTTGCCAAAGAAGTCACATTTCTTCACAGTGCTCACTCATTTTTAAGGTCCCTGGAGGTCTAACGATTCCTGACACAGTAACAGATGAGTGCACGGTCATCTCGTGGGGTAGAAAGATGTTTCCTGCTGCGACCAGCTAGCAATCTCATAGTACCATGTTGGGCTTGTTTTTTCTTGGTGTAATGAACGGCTGTCTTGGAGATCTTCAGTTTTTTCACCACCTGTCTCTCACTCATGACGATTTCCAGCAGTGCCAAGATGGCTGCCTTTGAGGCTTCACATAATTCTTTTGTTTTAGGCATCATGTGAGAGCTGACAACTTCTGAGTTGTGCTACGGCTTGAATGTAAGCAGGAAACCACTGCAGGCCTTTGCATGTGCAGTGCTGCTTATGACATGAAATGGCCTCTTACATACCCTACAGGGAATACAATGAAGCTTCAGCATGTCAGATAGGACATAAAGTATGATGTAATCAGCTGAATGTTTTGTCCTGTCCATTGTATTCTTCAGGTAATATACCTTAAGTGGTACCAGGCATTAAAATGAACAAGAAATTAAAGAAAACAAAGGTGGTCTAATGATTTTCTCCATGACTGTATATATTTTTGTTCTTTTATTGGGCTGATATTGATGCTCCTGCTAGATGTGATGTATGTGGTGCAGCTGTGGCTGCAGTGAAAGGAGACTTGTTGAATTGTTTTAATTGGGTTTCTTGCTTTAGTGATGGCATTCATTCTCACTACATGAGATACCTGTCAGCAATGCAACTGTCATGAACTCACTTGACAGACAGGTGGACACAAATGCTTGACGCAGAAGGGTTCAGGCAAAAGGCAGGTTTAATATCAAGCAGGGTTCGGTACAAAGGTAGACAGTCACTCAGGCAAAGGCAACATCCAAAAACAGAATCAGGGTCGTGATCAACAGGCAAAGGTATCCAAAATCGTCAGGCAAGAGGCAAGGTCAAAAATCAGAAACAAGGTCGAGAACACACAGGCTGTGACTTGACTATGAGTAACGCTGGTACGAGGACTGAGAAGTGCAACGAACTGGCAACGAGACAGTGAGACACACAAGGTAAAATACACGAGGTAATGAGATGGGAAACAGGTGCAGGGAGGTAATTAGGGAACAGGTGTGACAAGACAGGTGCAGGAAGTAAAACTGGAACAGAAACACCCGGTGATTTCAAAATAAAACAGGAAAGACGAGACATACAATGTGCAAACATGAAGAGGAACTTGACAGACATGACAGCAACGTCCTGTTATGCTGCTTTTCTGTATAATACTGATGGTTTCTAAAGCCGTGGCGTCATAATGATGATGTTAAGAGGTGGTTTTATTCAGGCAGGACACCACTGAAGGCCTTATGCTGTGTTCACATCATTGGCACAAATGATTTACATGTGAAGTCAATGTGAAGACGCGATTAGACGCGAGTAAATGTCCCGCGGCGCGACTCCCGCGATTAGCGCAGCGCGATTGACACGAATTGAGCGAGTTTGACGCGCGTTTGATGCGATTTTAGACGCCCGGTATGTCCCTAACGCGCGTCCAAAGAGCAAGTTGAAAAATCTGAACTTTTGCGATCTGACGCGCCGCGATGGCCAATCAGCGTTGAGATTCTCTGGTGACGTCAACAACATGATTCATTCATTTTTTGAACTACACTGTGAATACTGATTGATTTACTCACCCCAGGAGAAAAGCACTTCCATTATTGGCCAGGGCAGATGTCAGTGCTCAGCAGACGGACTGTCCCTCTCCTCCAGTTAACACACAAGAATGACACCCTTCAACTTAGCAAGCTAGCGAGCCGAGTTGCTAGCTATCGCAATGCTAGCGGGATAAACCTCCGCTGGCTCCTTGTCTCTGTGGTCAGCGCAGTGTTGCCAACTCCTCAGTAAGGAAAGTAGCTATTGGCTGTCCTGAAAGTCGCTAGAAGTCGCTAAATGACGTCATCGACTAATTTGCATAATTGAGTGAATTCAATTGAATTGCATGTAATTGTAAGGCACGCTGTCGGAGAGAGAAATAACGTCGTGGAAGAGACAAAAAGTAAGTAA